TCTCCGGAGGATTGTCATCTGGAAAAAAAACGGAAGCAAAAAAGGTTGGACGGACGAATCGCACCCCAGGCCATCACGCAAGCAAGCAAGACGCTTTGGACCTGGAGCCGTGCTTACGAACGCGAATGCTTACCAAAACTAAAATTGACTTGAAGCAAAACCAACCAAAGCCTCGAACGCCTCATCGCCCGCTATCCACGTCGGCGGTCCAAGTCGGGATACCCAAGTTAGTACTCAATCCAGGGTCGACGAGACGAAACCCCTAAAGGACAAAGACGAAGACAATTGCAATGACTCGGGCTTGATATCCCTCCGGACGCGGGTACGATTACCTATTACCTCCCACTGTCTACAGGAGATGAGAGAAAAAAACAAAAACGGAAGCAAAAAAAGTGGGCAACCTTGCGAGCTGTCACCGACTCGGAGGTTGGACGAATGTCACCCATCGACGACTCGGGGCAAGCAAGCTTTGGACCTTGCTTACCAAAACTAAAATTGATCGACTTGAAGCAAAACCAACCAAAGCCTCGAGCGCCTCAACCATACACTATCCACATCGTCCATCGGCGGTCCTAGCTTCAGCCCCAGGACGTTATCGTCGGTTGATTCATCATATCATATCATATCATATCATAACACCAAGGGTCTACCGTCTACCTGTGCAAAGTTTAACGTCAAGTAATGTCGCCAACTCGCTCGCTCGCCGGCGGCCAGCCAAATTTACAAAGTCCAAGTCGGGACTCTAGCCAGGGTCGACGAGAACCTCACGACAAGGAGGAAGGCTAGGCTAGGCTAGTCCTGGCCTAGCATGGCCTAGAACCATGTTCATAGCGTCGGCCGTCCGAGGGAAATTACGAATGAGTTTCAACCTGGGTTCGAGGACACGGCCTGGAACTTCATATCGGCGGGCTTTTAGGACAACAGAAAATCGGAAAGAAATTGGTTGTCTCGAGGGGTCACCGTGACGGATTCCAGCAAGCAAGGTTCATGGCAGAGCAAACGCATGCATAGGAGACCAAGGTTGGATTGGTTTGGCCGTCGACGACGAGCTTGGAGTCTAGACCTGGACCTGGACCTAGCTAGACCTCTGACGCTGTGTTTACGACTCGGAACGGCGTTTCAAATTCGAATTCGTCGAGCTTCGGCGGTCTTCGTCGTCGCGACACTTTCCCCCTTTATTCAATACTTGGCAAGAGCGCAACCAACTACGACAAGCGGCAAACAAGCGGCGAGCGGCAAGTGGTAAGCATTCATTTTCAACCCGGCGCTGAATCAAGCAAGCGCAAGCGACAACTTGAACTTTGACAACCTGAGCGTTGAACAAAGACAACATATCGTTACAAGGGGCGAGGAGAAGACCACATGTACAACGGTTCCACGAAGAACTTTCTTTTTTCGTAAAAGGTAATGACGAGTTGCAGCCTACTCAACAAACGCATGGCCCAAGCTCAGGCCGTCGACGAGCTCGGAGCAGGAATTTGAAGCCTTCTAGATCTGGACCGGGGCCTAGCTAGACCTCTGAAGCTGTGTTTACGAACGGCGTTTCAAGCTTCGGCGGTCGGCGGTCGTGGAAACCACGGCAAGCATATGCATTCAACAATACTCAATCGTTATTATGATCAAGCTCGAGGGTCGACGAGAACCTAACAACGACCACTGGCACGACCGCTTCTAAGTGAAGTTGCAAGAAGAACAGAACATTCTTTGCTCGGAGGTACATATCGGCGGCGCCCCGGATTTACGAGACGATACGATGTTACGATGTTACGCGACCCCGCATCGCATCGCGATCTCAACACAAGTACTTACGCGGCTTCGGCAGTAACTATACATACTTATCTGCATACTTACCTACTCGGCCACTGGCACGCAAGGACGTGACGGACCTGCGTCAAAATAAAACTTCAATTCCAACTTATCCGCTGCATAGATGGTTGTGGTTGTGGTTTATTTCAACTTTCAACCTGGACGGCCTCAAAAGTTCTCACTCGGGCTTCTCCGACTCGCGAAAAATTAGCGACAAAGTCGCCGCCCACACGACACCGCATAGCAGACCCGACGCGTATTGGCTGCGGTGTCTCAGCTTACGATAGCTTGCACAACTAAGTTACAGTATGCCGCGAAAATCCAATTCAAATGCATGCCGGGCGATGCCAGTGTCAGTGTCAGCTACGCATCTCAGCGGATCTCCTGCTTCACGATAAGGCTTGAATATGCTAGTGTGCGACCCCGCACTGCCAGTGCTCATGATAGCGCCGACGTCGACGCCTTTTATCCATTTCAATTGCGATTACAGTACTGTGTGTACTTAACACGGACAGGGACACAGCTCGTTCTCGTCGATCTCGGGGGTAACTGCTACTCCTGAGTCTGTCCGCTCAGTCAGCGCAAGTGTAAGTGTAAGCTGACTAGTCACTCTTACCGAGTCAACTCGGCTCAACTTGCCTTTTTTTTCGAAGGGGTACCAGTGAACTTGAGCTTGTTCTTTGCCAACCTGCGAGTCTGAATCGGAATGTTCCCGTGCCAGTGAACAGGCTCAACTTCAACTGTGCGCGGCGTTCTCGGGCTCACCCGAACTCACCTGACGCGTACCTCGGCAAATACGACGACAGACGTCGGCGGTGCACGGTCCCGACTAAGGACTTGTATATACGACTCGGACGACGTGAGCTTATTACGACCCCGCACTGCACCCAAGCGACGTCCTTACGGATGCGTAGCCGAAGTCGGCGGTAATGCATTAATCTACGCGACTCTCCGGTGGCCATCTCCTGCAAGCTCTAGGCACGCTCTTCAAAGTCCAACCGCAACCGCATACAGCAACAGACTCCTCAGAACTTCAGGCGCGAGAACTCAAGCTCTCAAGTCGCAGGTAGTACCCTGGCCCTGAATAAGTACGCGCCTCCAAATTCGGATCGCCAATCGACACTCACTTATTGCGCCTCCCATTGATCACCCAACCCGATCCCGACTTTGAAAAAAAAAACAGCGAAAATCAACCTTGAACTCGGAATTTTCCCACGGTTCAAATAAGGTCACGCATCCATCATCAAAATGTACGCCTACATAGACCTGCGTACAGCGAGCGCTCCGTGATATCGTCAGAGGCCTCTTCAAATAGCCTCAGAAGATTCATTCAACTTGTCTAATGTGATGCGGCGTATGTCCTCATCCGAGGGGTGATTCAACTTATGTGCGACCTCAGTGCCTCCTCATCTCATCAACGAAGGACTGGTCTGCGACATACGCTAGCTGCAACGAGTTTCATGCAGCACCGACTACATACGTATGTACTTGGATTGGACGTCATCGGATCCTGACGTCATTGTGGCTCGCCAATGTGGGTCCGTTGCGCGCGCCGTTGCGACTTCTCGAGAGACGACCAAGATGCGAGTCTAATTTTCCCGGGTAAATTTATGAATAATAAACCACCAGTCATGTAGGGTTGAATAACCGCTGAGCGTGCAAAGGATTTCGGTGTTAAAGTCCGACATGGTCAACCTCGCGTTCTATTTCTAGTGTCTCGCACAACCCTCCTTCCTTGCGCCTGTTCAATTGTTGTTTCTCCTTCCCACTAACGACGATCATCGCCAAGCATACATACATCAAGCCACGCCACGCCAGCCTCGCGCGAAAATGCATCACGTCTCCGCCGCCCTTTTCTTGCAGATAATAAATAGCTGACACTGATACCTGATGATCGCCATTCGTAGGGGCATCTCTGATTCGATTGTGGGGGCAAAATATTCAGTCCGACTTGACACGCACTTACAGCGGAAGGACTCGGAGGAATCACAACTTGACTTGACGGGCGGAAGACAATCAACGGCGCACTGGCACAGCATTGGCAGCGGCGTTCAGGCTTGCATTAAATTGCCAGTAATATTGCGGTTGAGCCCCATTTCGTTGAATTCCGCATTCGACCCTGACTCAAAAAAAATTTACAGGAAGGAGACAGGCCTCGGTCGACAGCAGCAGAGGGTGGCTCCCTAAATCAATGATTAATTCAACAACCGTGCACGTCCTCGGTAATACCAAATACTTTAGCTTTATGTGTTCTCGCTAGGGGTCTCAGCATCGAACCATATCTCCCCTTAGTCTCTCGTAGACAGACGCTACAACTTTTTGCTCGTACCTCGCATAATCTCCCCCCAACTTGACCCTAGTCTCTCTTAGACAGACACAACAATTCTTGCTCGTACCTCGCGAGTTGTAACTTGAACCTCAGGACCAAGGATTCCGAAAGGAATCGGCTGGCAGGCTCTCCGCATCCAAGTCGGGCCCTTCAGTCCGTCCGTCCGTCGGCGAAACATTTAACACGGTCAAGGTCAATTGATCAAGGCTCTAGGTAGCCGGACAGTGGCGCCGGCGTTTTGTAATTACGCCCATTAAATGCATTTCAACCACTTCCGCAACTCCGAAATTAACCCCTGAGACTTGTTGGACTAGTTTAATTTAATTCCCTCCGGCATCCTAGTTCGTTTAAAATCTCCATTTATTTGCTCTTGAGATTCACCAAGTCTCGCTTCCGAGTCCATCCTCGAACCACATGTACTTATACTTCCCTCGCGTCAACCTGGAGAGGAGACCGAAAATCCCCAAAGGAAACGGGTCGTATTATCCCTTCACCTTCAAGCCGTCCGCTGTCTTCTGTCCATCAACCGAACTCAAACCCAACCTAAGGTGCGGGCCCAGCATTTAACGATCAAGGCTCGTGTGCAGATAGACCCAGGGGAGAGAACTAGACCGGAATTCGCGCTTTGACTCACGGTTTTCCGCTCCGTACCCTGCGCCACCCCACCGCCAGCTCGGTCTCTGCTTGGTTCCCCGCTCACCGTTCCGTTCACGCAACTCCGAAACTTCATCAACTTGAAGACCATCAAACGCATTCAGAACAGCTGTGTCACCATTACACCACCAGCTCGTTTCTGTTCTCCATTCACATGAGCTAAGATATCTCACTGACTGTTGAAAAACAGAAAGCAAACATTTTTTCGATGCGACCTGACCTCGATTTGAACAGAGAATTCCCACGTAAACACAATTACCTTGTTCATGGTAGGTGTGTTACCCTTACACCATCAGGTCTGTGGATTAAATCATTGCTACATTACACTGCTTTATACCGGCAGCCGAGGCACTCTTGTATTCATAGGATGACTACGGTGCATAAAAAGGATGTCGCACTTATATGTAGTCCATCTGGATTCCGGTCGAGTCACCGCAGAACAGACCACATTGCGAATTTGGCGCCGGTTGGGCAGTGCCGAAGCTAATCTGGGAAGAAAGACTCGAACTAAATCAGACCGGGCAGCCGCCTTGAACCAGTGCTGGAATGCAAGGTGAGCTCGGCTTCAAACAACCCCATCCGCAAGAAGCCGGACATGATGAATGGTCATTGGAACCTGCCGGGGAGCAGCGTGACTACAGCAGGCAATTCCGAATGCTCATTTTGATACCCGCTTGCACCTCCAAGGAACCCATATTGGGATCCGGAGGCGTGCTATATCATATTCCTGGAGTCATAATTGCTCCGGCATCCTGAACTTCCGCAAACATTCATTATTTTTACTCACATCTTGGGATTTAAATGCCTGAAATACCCAGTACCTGGGGATAAAATGGAGTATCCTCGAAGTGCAACATGACACGTGACCTTGGTTGAATTTTTAAGCAATCGCCGTTGAACATCAGCGAAGCATTTCAACGGTGGAAAAATGCATTCTGTTCGCAAACTTCTTGTGCTCTGTTGTACACTTGAAAATATTGAGGTGAGGGACAATTTTGCTGATTCAGGGACTTCCGCTATCTGTATGTAGGTGGGCCGCCTCGAATCCCCCTTCTGTGCACAGCGTCTTATGAACTCCAGCCTCCAAGTTCAAATCCCAGTTATTCAAAATTGAGATGTGTATCATTCGTATTACATGGAGGAGAACACACACACAAAGTTCATTGACTCGCTTGCCCCGGCTTTCCGTCAAATTCCCGTCCATCATTGTCCTCCACAGAGTTGATTTCGTTAAGCTCTGTTCGCTTCGTACTATCTGGTTCAAATTCCAAGGCGAAGTAAGCAATCTAGTGTCGACAAGGGAGGCCAGTCACCTTTGAATTTCCGACTCAGTCGGAGCACTCTTTATCTGGGAAACATTCCTTGCATGCTGCAGATTCCGATAAGTATTTCCCCCCTTTTAACCGGATAATTGGTACCTTCGACAATGTTTGGTGTAATTATGTACATCAGGATATTAAGGAAAACTAAATCAAGCTTACCGTTCCCAAACAGAATGTGTTCGATCTCGGTCACTGTAGGCAGAAGGGGTGGGCCCTCCAGGGATCGACGGAATTTGGGCGTGAATGTCTCATCCCAGTCCACGGCCGATGAGGTCGGTTTGGCCCGAATTGAAGGGCCAGCAAGGCGCTCAACAATTTGGGGTGCCGTTGGACGCAGTTCGGCATTCACATTCCAACAATCTTCCATTAACTGCCAAAGATTGTCAAGCACCTTTGTCCCTGAGCACTCAGTTGGTCGAGGGGGATGTTTTCCTTCCCTGAATTCGAACATCAAGGCCATGTCCGGAAAGCTGTTGATGGGAACCTCGCCTGTCAGTATCTGCGTGATCGCATTAGTGTCAGAAAGATGGAGAAAATATCGGAACCACTTCGTAGGGAGGATATACCAGAATCGGCAGTGCGACACACCTGAGATGCGACACATTGTGCTCAAGTACGACACATTGATGGGGAATGTGTCGCACTTGTTTCAAAGTGTCTGATTCACTTTGTTCGGCCATCAATTCACGTCCTCCATCAATAAGTCCCCTTCAACAGCATTACAATATTCCTCACCCTCACCCTAACCTCTAACTCTAACCACTAACCACTAACCACTAACCCTGACCTCTAACCCAAACCACTAACCACTAACCCTAACCTCTAACCCAAACCACTAACCCCTAACCTCTAACCTCCAACCAGAACCACTAACCCGAACCTTAACCGGCCGCTTTGCGGCAGAGATACGCCGGTTTGATGGCCATTTGATGGCTGCCGCGCTTAAGAAAACAAGTGCGACACATTGATGGGAAATGTGTCGTACTTTAGCACGGTGTGTCGCATTTGAGGAGTGCCGCACTGCCGATTCTGTTCAATCCCGCTTCGTAGCAGACACAAGCAAAGCCATAAACATCCAAACCGACGTGTTTCTGATCGGGGCCTCGATCAAGGCGATTAACTCGGGTGCTAGATAACGCACCATCCCTTGTGTGTATCGAAGTGAGTTTGGGTGATTTTCAAGGAACTGCAACACCGTTTCGTTCACGATCAAGGAGAGCCCAAAATTGCTGATACATGCTCTATGTGAAGCCGTGATGAGGATATTAGACTGCATCTAATCAGCACAATGAATTCTCTCATGCATGCGGTACGCATACACACCCCTTTCGAGTTACCATGAATCACATTTTGTTCATGGAGGTATTGGAGTCCAAGTGCAACATCGAGAATCTGTGGAACAGATGTCACATATTTCCGATGTTTTCCAATTAACTACACCCACCAGTGAGAAACGGTTGGTATCAGGGTTTTTGTTTAGAAATTCTCGGAAATTCCCATTCTCAATCCAAGGAGATATCAGATTGAGTCTGTTGTGTATGTAGCATACACCAAGGAAGGGAACCACATTTGGATGCCAAAGTTGGCGCCAAATGAGAGATTCGTGAACAAGTTCGTAATAGAAGTTAAACTGAGAATTACAGAGGAATGAAGCTCAAAGAAGAACCTTATGTGTTGCAGCCTCTTGTCCCGCCTATATTTCCAGTGTCTTGATTGAGACAGTTCGACCACAAATCAAAGCCCTCGAAATATCAAATGCTCCCCCAACCACCGGTTCCCCAACTATCTTCAAGTTAGGGACAGTGAAGTTTTGGGGACAGAGGCCTGACTTTGCAGACAAGCGCAGTAACGACATCTGTATCACCTGTCTTGCTGCAGAGTCTTCAATCTCAAGATCCAGCAACTGTTTTTTGATACTATTCAGATCAAGCTTCCCAACGATGAATACACTTACGTCCTGGAAGAGATCCAAAAGGTACTGTGCACCTGTACCCATGTGATTTTGAAAAGAAGGTTTTCGAAGAAGAAGCTCCAGTCTTTGAACAACAATGGAGATATCGTGGTAGATTTGGTCGCATATATTGTTTGAAATTGTGTGGTAGGGCCTGGAGTCATTCTAACAGAATGAGTATCAGCAACATAATTAATAGAGTGTTGAGGCAAATACCTCAATGGAAAGATTCAACAATGTGAATCGCCTGGACACATTAGAGTAAAATTGTTGAAGAGATCTCAAGAATTCCCAATGCCAATTACTGGGTGCTCCAGAGGGCCAAAACTCTTCCAAACCTCTGGAGAAACCGTTGAAGGCAGCAATGGGTGCAAATCAGATGAGCCTACATGATGTGACCAAGCTTAGACTTGTGGAGCACCCGCGAATATAAGTAGGTGACCAAATTCTGTTCAAGGATCAATTGGAATAATTTGTATGGGAAAAGCAAATGCACCCACAGGCTGTATTGAATTCAAGTGCACGAGTTGGACACGCACCGAGATGCTCAAGTGGGGGGACTTGTGCCAAATGGCATGACAAAGGTCTTCAATGAGGACCAATAATTCGGAATTGGCCGGAATTGTGTCAAGTTCCGTATTGTCTCTTTGAACAATACAAGACAGAGTCTCGATGAAAGAGCGGTCGAATCTGATGCCAAGTGATGTGAAAATCTCTGGCAGTCCAACCAGTCTGGGTGAAAATCGGAGAAACAGTGCAGTGAGGCGAATGAGGACATCATTTGATCCCCGTCGGATTTTGATGTGAGTCAAGCGGTCAATTTGTTGCCAAGTTGTCAAGTCAAGCTCAAGCATACTGTACCATTTCGTTCAATTCTCCCTGGCTGTGACCTGTGACCGGAAAATTCGAACTTTGGTTTTCGTATATGGGCCAGGCAAACCGTGACACCAAAAAAAGTTCGTATATTTCCCATGAGCCCTGCAGTCGGAAATGCTTTCAGCTGGAGAGGAAATGAGCAGATATAGTAATGGCAAGGGAGATTAGTGTAAGTTCAATCTGCATTGGCCAATACTCACCTTTTTCGAACCAAAAGTGCAAAAAACGGGCCGCACACGCGGAATTTGGATTTTCACCGATTTTGTGACTTGTTTCGCAAGTTCGAAAATCCCCTCGGTGACCCGTGACAAGTACGAAAAAGTTCGTATATTTTGGCCGCTGTGACGCGTGACATACGAATTGAATGAAATGGTACAGTATACCAATCAGAAGGATAGAGCCTGCCTCGACTGTAATCCTTGAGAAGGGATTGATAGAGTTTGAAGCCATCGTCTTCATCCCATGCAAAAAGATTATGGTCGTCGCCTCGGAGAATATCCAGAAATGTTGGAAGAGGGTTTGTGCAGTCATTCAGAGTTTGTGCAGTCATTCAGAACTGTGCGGAAAATGACCCAGAGAATAAGGGTCCAAGGCGATACAACAAGCTCATAAAATGTAATCAGCAGAGCTGAATCCTTTTCGAGTGTGCACTTGGCCGCATGTGCCCTGGTGGCGAGGTGACTGACCTAATATGAACTTGACAGCACAAGTAACAAAGTTTGGACTCACGTCTCGAAGCAGTTGCACTTGTGGTTCCAGGAGACCCAGATTGATAGCAGGTCGGTGAAGGTGTAAACCTCCAACATACTGTATTTTTTCGTTCAAATCGACAGGGGGGGTGACGCGTGACATGTTCAACCAATTCAACAGTTCGACACCGGGTTTTGGGCAGCGTGACGAGGCAAAAAAATCGACATAACCTGGAAATTTTGGAGAAGGCAAGTGAAAGAATTTCCTGGATAGCGAGAGGACATTTGATTTGATTTCAAACCCTGACTGGTGCTTTCTGGTAATTATTTGTTCCAAGCTGATTTAGGGCATGAACCCAGGCAGATGTTGAATTCTGGACTTGTAGAGGGAGAAGCCCAGGAGAAGGTTGAGAAATGGTTGAAATCTTACTGTAAAATGATAGCCAAAGGCAAGAACTTTT